CGAACCTCGTGTGTGGTGAATAGAGTTGGATGATGGTTGGCAATGTGGCTCATACAACTTGGCTCATTAAAATCTGGCTCATTAAACTGTGGCTCATTTTACTGTGGCTAATTAAACTGTAGCTGATTAAAGTGTGGCTCTTTAAGGCATGGCTCATTAAACTGTGGCTCATTAAACTGTGGCTCCTGCATGCGGCTTATTCAACGAATTGCCTTGTAATTTTTACAGACCCAAGAACCTGGTTGTTCATTTTCTTTTATTTTTTTATACAACACACAACACACAACACACAACATACAACATACAACATACAACATACGACATACGACATACGACATACGACATACGACATACGACATACGACATACGACATACGACATACGACATACGACATACGACATACGACATACGACATACGACATACGACATACGACATACGACATACGACATACGACATACGACATACGACATACGACATACGACATACGACATACGACATACGACATACGACATACGACATACAACATACAACATATAACATATAACATACAACATACGACATACGACATACGACATACGACATACAACATACATGCTGTCAGTTATACAACATACAACTGGCACCATGCTGTCAGTTATGAAACATTTCAACGAATTCCGCATCACTGTCATGTGTTGAATTATGCCAATTTAAAACAAAACAAAAATCCATTTTACTTTACCCACTTTAAAAAAACAAAATTCCCCTTAAAGCCACAGACGAACCTGCTTAAAATAACACCTGTGATTAAATGGAAATTAAATCCGAAGGAAAATTTTTATTTTTCAATGTTAGGCCCGACCTGCTAAATACCGAAACGTTGTAGGGATAAAACGATGTATGTTGTACAGAGAAATGTAGTACTAGACTAGTTGAAGTCTTACGGTAGGAATTTAAATGGCGTAACCAGCACAGCGTGTCAACATAGGCCCGGCCCATAAATAAAATGTTTGTTACACGCTTGGTGATGTTTGTACGACATGACTGACAGTACAATGTGAGGTCAGTGACAATGTCATGTTGTCAGTAAGGCCTACATGCCAGTGACAGTGTCATGTTATTAACAATGTCATGTTGTCAGTAAGGCCCACATGTCAGTGACAGTATCATGTCAGTGTCATTTTGAATGCTGAGGCCCTACATGTTTTAGTGAAAATTAATGCAAGTTACCGTAGAGTCATGATTGTTTAATTACCTGAGGTTAATTAGTGCAGTATTTAAAGGGATGATATTGTTCTGTTGGACCCATGAAGTTTTGTAAATTGGAGTCTCTCATTCAGGCAATAATAGGGTTAACTCCCTTCTGTTCAAATTAGGACGATCGCTTTTAAATTATTAAACGAAGAACTTAATTAAACTCTTGAGATAATTGACAATATTCCTGGGGATGTTTAATTGGTGTAAAAAGTTAATCGTTGCGGCCTAGGTCAGTATGACACGTTACTAATGGAGTTATAATTAGCAGTGGTGACCCCGAGGGTCAAGGTCACCTAGAGTCAGCAACTTTTGAAGGTGGATAAACGATATCGTCGTTGTAGTGGACGAGTAACGTCGTTGTGGTTGTTATAGTGGATAAGAAACGTTGTTATGTTTGGAAGTGGGCTATGTCCATATTTCTCAGATAATTTGTGTTCTCGTTAAGCACAGTGTTAAAGTGTTATTTTAGATCCTTTCCGAAGTATTAATTGATGATAACTGATTATGTTATATGGGTATGGCTATATTGTTTGGAAGTATTTTAGGAGGTGCGAAAAGACACACTTTAATTAATGAACATTTGCATTAAGAAGAGGGGGAACTTTCGTAGAAGACTGGGAACATGTCGTAAAAGATTGGGGGGGGGGGGGGTGGTCAATTGAAAATTTCGTGGGGTTAAAATATATAATAATATTCTCTATTGAAATTTGATATTATGTTACCATTTCGTTCATTTCGTGCTGGTGGGGGGGGGGAGAGGGGGCAGTACCCCTTCCCCCGAAGATACGCCAGAAAGAAACCCTGAACATGTCAATAATAGAAGAGACACGGGACATATCTTAATGGGAACACGTCTGAAGACATTATGTAATACTAATACACTCTGTGTACAGAAGTTTAGTATAGTGTGTGCGATGGAACAGACAAAGGCTTGTTCTTAGTTAAAGAAACACAGACTATTTTTTTACAATCCCCACAGCCTTACCTTATCTAGAAGTACTTATCCAACTTGAGAAGAGTGTAGTTCTGTAGTAAATATATTACATGTTCAGCCAGTTAATGGTGATCTTTATCACTTGTTCATCTAGTAAATTCTAGTAGATTGTGTTGTTACGACTTGTGAGAACAAGGTTTTTGTAAGTCCATGAAAACCAGTCAGTCCAGTGAATTGTTGTCTCCCCTAGTGGGAGTTGTCTCCACTAGGTAAGAGGGAATTCTTGCCCCAAGATTTGCCGTGACAGAGGACAATCAGGACACATTCTTCAGGTGGGGGTGGGGGGGGGGGGGTTCATGGTAGTGACCTAAAATAAAGCTGGGGCCTAGTGATAACCCGTCGCTTGTGTAGGTATTTAATGCGGGGGGGGGGGGGGGGGCTTGTAAATTTAATGAAGCAAAGGGGTTCTCAAGTTGGCGTTAACAGGGTACTCAAGTTTATCCCTGCAGGGTCCATATAAATATATCTGCAGGTTCTATAACAAAAAATGCATACAGCTTCCTTTCGGGATATTTAAAACCTGTACCACCAACGACGAATTAAAAAAAAAAAAACTTCCGGTGAAAATTCACCAGTCTGTTTATCTAATCTTTAAGCTGTGCTTATTTGAGCACAAAATATTTCCAAATATATTATGTCTGAGTTAAACATATAGGCTACATAGAAGTAAAAATAAAATGTCTTAGAACCAAACTAAATAAAAATAAATTCAAAGTTTTTTAGACTGCGTTAATAGATTAATAAAAGTTTTCTTAAGCTATTTACTGATATGGTAAATGATTCACTCTTGTTGTTGATGCAGTAGGGTTTAGGTCTTGGGTTTGGTAGGGAGGGGAATCTTGAAACAAATGGGGGGGGGGGGGCACAACAAAAGAGTCAACGTGGGTCGGCTACATCACACTAACCACAGTGTGGGGCTAGATGTGACTCCCCCCCCCCATCCCAACCCATCCACACGTGACATGTTAGCAGACGTCATCAGTTGTTGTCATGAAATTATCATAAAAATGTCAGGCTTGTGTTGATGGGGTTATTAATTCTCATGCAGAGTGGGGGCTTGAGGGGTTGTACTGGTTAGTAACTAGGTGGTTAATGGCTGAGGTGGTTAATGGCTGTGGTGGTTAATGGCTGAGGTGGTTAATGGCTGAGGTGGTTAATGGCTGTGGTGGTTAATTGCTTTGGTGGTTAATTGCTTTGGTGGTTAATGGCTGAGGTGGTTAATGGCTGAGGTGGTTAATGGCTGAGGTGGTTAATGGCTGTGGTGGTTAATTGCTTTGGTGGTTAATTGCTTTGGTGGTTAATGGCTGAGGTGGTTAATGGCTGAGGTGGTTAATGGCTGTGGTGGTTAATGGCTGAGGTGGTTAATGGCTGTGGTGGTTAATTGCTTTGGTGGTTAATGGCTTTGGTGGTTAATGGCTGAGGTGGTTAATTGCTTTGGTGGTTAATGGCTGTGGTGGTTAATGGCTGTGGTGATTAATGTCTGTGGTAGTTACGTGGTCTGTAGTTTGGTCTTGTCGTATCATTCTGAATACAGAACACAGCAAAGTTTGCGCGAACGGCCTGTAAATCTAAAAAACATGACATGAAGAAGCTTACAAGCATAATTCCTACCATTTTAATTTCTAGCAAGTTACAGCAACGAAAGTCGACAAGTCATTCAACAAAGCAAAAACAGTGTATGCGTTTTTTTTAGACTGTACTCTATCAAAAACACTTACTATTTTTATTTACTTTTGAAACCATCATTTTTACACCCGTTGATCTTTTTTCCAACCATTAATTTACACCTGTTAACCAACGTTTCAAACCATCAATTTACACCTGTTAACCAACTTTTCAAACCATCAATTTACACCTGTTAACCAACTTTTCAAACGATCAATTTTACACCTGTTTTTCAAACCATCAATTTTACACCTGTTAACCAACTTTTCAAACCATCAATTTTACACCTGTTTTTCAAACCATCAATTTTACACCTGTTAACCAACTTTTCCAACCATCAATTTTACATCTGTTAACTAACTTTTCAAACCATCAATTTTACACCTGTTAACCAACTTTTCAATCAATGGTTTTTTTAACTCCGATTATTCACCTTTTCCAAAAATCAGTTTTACACGATTGATCAACTTTTCGAACTATCAGTGTATCAGTTTTACAACAGGCTGCTATTGCTTCTCTGCCTAAAGATATCAACTGATGTCATTCTCTTTAGTACACTATTGCCTAGACCAGACGGTCTATATCAGCAGTTGTAAGGTAGACGTGTTGGTCTTGACCTGTATCCTTTATCACGTGCTCATTAACCCTTCGTCCATTTTGATGACCAGTCGTATGTAAAGTATGTGTGTGTATCTCTGTGTGTGCCTTAGATGCCTCTATGTATGTTTATGTCTGATTATTGCCTGCTTTTGTTTTACTATGTATGTGAGTATGTGACTGTCCGGAATATATTCCAAATCTTTCAGTACAATATCCAACATACAAGCAGGTCTCTGAAGATCACGATGCAGCTCTCTGGGTATAAAAGATCATGATGTAGCTCTCTGGGTATAAAAGATCATGATGCAGCTCTTGGGGTATAAAAGATCATGATGCAGCTCTCTGGGTATAAAAGATCATGATGCAGCTCTCTGGGTATAAAAGATCATGATGTAGCTCTCTGGGTATAAAAGATCATGATGCAGCTCTCAGTCTATAAAAGATCATGCTGTAGCTCTCTGGGTATAAAAGATCATGATGCAGCTCTCAGTGTATAAAAGATCATGATGCAGCTCTCGGGGTATAAAAGATCATGATGCAAGTTTCGGTGTATAAAAGATCATGATGCAAGTCTCGGTGTATAAAAGATCATGATACAAATAACAGTTTATAAAAGATCATGATCTTTTTATGTGGACAGCTCGTCTGCACATAAACTTGAGACACATTGAAGGTTTCAGCCGCCGGCCTTCATTGGAAAAAAATAAACGATAACATTACAGTTGGGTCACAAGACAATAGGAAGATTGTCTGTAAAAAAAAGACTAAAGACAAAAAAAAAGACTCCTACCAGTTGAAGGTGTAGATTTTAACCAAAGTGGAAAGCTGATGACAGAACCAAATGGTTGGGTTGCTGTGAGGAGTAAACAAAGTATGTATAGGTAGTTCTTAAAGATAGCTATTGAACCATGAAATACAACTATCTACACATAAGCCTTAAATAATATTTTGTACACCTATGCTTTAAGAAAACGATGTACACATACGTTTGAACAGGTAAATGCATCAACCTAAGATATCAACATCAGCACTAACCTCAGATATCAACACCAGCACGCCACTAACCTCAGATATCAACATCAGCACGCCACGAACCTCAGATATCAACATCAGCACGCCACTAACCTCAGATATCAGCACGCCACTAACCTCATATATCAACATCAGCACGCCACTAACCTCAGATATCAACATCAGCACGCCACTAACCTAAGATATCAACATCAGCACGCCACTAACCTCAGATATCAACATCAGCACGCCACTTACCTCAGATATCAGCACGCCACTAACCTCAGATATTAACATCAGCACTAACCTCAGATATCAACATCAGCACGCCACTAACCTCAGATATCAACATCAGCACTAACTTCAGATATTAACATCAGCACTTACTTCAGATATCAACATCAGCACGCCACTAACCTCAGATATCAACATCAGCACGCCACTAACCTCAGATATCAACATCAGCACGCCACTAACCTAAGATTTCCAGAGCCACTTACCTCTTCCGAAACCTCTTGTACTGACTCTTCTGATGGTAAAGTTTGCTCAGATGGTGTCTCCTCTGGAGTAGTCTCTGGCTCTTCTTCCGACTCCTCTTTAATGGAGTCAATGGATATTGTTTCTGGTAGCCCTGAGAGAAGAAATAAACTGCATACGATCTTACTTCAAGCAATCTTTTTAAGGGAGTTCAGTCTCATCGAAATTGAAGTTGCAAGTTATGGACTATATGCAACACAATAACTGGAGACTATTCACACATCTATAATAATAGTTTCGCTGTCTGTCTATCTATCTATCTATCTATCTATCTATCTATCTATCTATCTATCTATCTATCTATCTATCTATCTATCTATCTATCTATCTATCTATCTGTCTGACAAGAACGCTCTAGAGAAAAGACAAGCAATTTAAAAACATGCATAGTATTTCGAAAAACGAAGTATGACGTCGACACATTTAGCGCACAGAGTAGAAAATAATCTCAAACCCAGAGAGTGCACACAGTTATATGACGTCATTGATTATCGAGTAAACATTCAATACAAAGGCAATTTGGTCTAATCTAAGTGGTTTGCGTGAAGAGTTTCTTGCATACAATTCTTCGGGTAGGGGCGAAGCCCCACCCCCCGCGTAAGAACGTCTGAGCCCCTCCCCCTCCCCAACTCAAAAGAAATTTCCTCATCGATACTCTATAATAAAATTAATGTGTCTAATCTAAAAAGTGGTTTTCTTGCAATGGGACGGTAGACATGTTTTTTTTTTTTTGGGGGGGGGGGTGTGTGGGGGGGTGTGGGGGTGGTGTGTGGGGGGTGGGGTGGTGTGTGGGGGGTGGGTTGGTTTCAGTGTTTCTTTCAGACTTTTTCCTCCCCGGAGAGGGGTGGGGTTACTTGAAATTTTCGGGGGCGGGGGGTAGAATTTTCTGGGAGGGGGCGGACACTGGAAAAAGTATATAATTATATTTCGTTGAATTGGACGGTAGACATGTTTTTTTTGGGGGGTGGGGGTGGAGAGGGGGGGGTGGAGGGGTGGGGGGGCGGTGTGTGGAGGGGGTGGTGTGTGTGGGGGGTGGGGGGTGGGGGGTGGTGTGTGGGGTGGGGGGGTGGGGGTGGTGTGTGGGGGGTGGGTTGGTTTTAGTTTAGAGAAAAGAGACAGCACTATCAACCTAGCGCCCGGTGTATCCTTCCTCAACGGGCCATTTTTCTCGTTTTATGTATATATTTTTACACAGATTGTACTTTTCCTAAAGGCAGTTCATACAATTTTAATGGAGAAAAATATTTTAGGATACGACCAGAGGCGTATCCAGGTTTTCAGTGTAGGGGGAGCGAAAAATAGCAAAAAAAGGCGCCGAATGTGTAATGTTCTATATATATATATATATATATATATATATATATATATATATATATATATATATATATATATATATATATATATAGGGCGTAGTCTGTTTTTGTCATCCTCGTACAATTTACTTTATAATTGCATTATGTCTTCTAAAAATTGGAATGCATAAGACGCGTAAATGAATATATTTTTTATTGCTTAATCAGTTTTACAAAACGGTATTCATTTTAAATTAAAAAAGAAACAGTATTTAGTAAGGCCTATGTAACACGTTTGATAGCAATTTTGTTTTATCCTGTACTCTAGAACTTCTGTTAGAACTACAACATCCTTTTTCGTCGAGGTTTCATTTTAGCAAAACGATCAATTACGTCTTTTAAATCAACATCAGAAGCTAATTGTCGTTCAATCGTAATCAGGGCTAAGCTGGACAACCTGTCTTTGTTCATAGTAGAACGGATGTATGTTTTCAGGAGTTTAAGACGGCTGAAGGATCTTTCTGCTCCGGCACTGCTTATTGGTAAAGTCAGAAATATACGATACAAAGTGGACAGGTTTGGATACATAGAACACAAGTCATTAGCTATCATGAATTTCAGAATGCTGTTTACTGTCAACGCTATTTCTAGAGGTTCTTTTTCAGTTGAAACTCCCTTGTTTACACTGCTTACACTAAAAACCTCTTGGTAAAATGTTCTAAATGATACGAATTCCTGCACTACTTCAGTTCAACTTTCAACAACATCCGAGTACGTCACTGCTAATTGCTCCAACTGTATTAAACTGTCATCTAATGCTAAATGTTTTGGGTCTAAGCAACAAAACTTGGAAGACACATCTTTAAAATTTTGAAACCTTGTGTTTGTACTAGTAATGACAGAGTCAAGTGACACTAAATAAGTTTGAACAATGAATTTTTTCCTAGAGTCAGATATCTGAGTATCCTCTGTTCCTTCGTCATGGAATCTTTTCCGTTTGTATAACCTGTGCTGCTTATACTCCGTACGAATATCACATTTCTCAGCGAGCTCAGTGGCTTCGTTCTCAATCTGCTCAAATTCTGATTCAAATTCATTTCTCCAGCTACTCATCTCATTTTCAAAAATCTGAATGAATCGAAAGGCTGTTAACATATCAATGCTACTCTTCTGTAAATAAATGGATACGTTAAAAGCCTTATGCACAATTCTTTTCCAAAACATTAAAACAACTAAAAACTCAAAGGTCTCTATTGTAACAAGAATTCCCTTTCCTTCGGCAATCTGTTTAGAAGTAGAGTTTTTAACTTCACCGTCAACTATTCTTCGCAATGCAAGAACTAGTGCTGGTAAATTCTGCAATATAGAATCTACTGCTGTCTTTCTAGAAGCCCATCTTGTATCACTAAGTCGTTTCAGTGTTAATGAAAATGCTTCTATGTTGTTGCGTTGCTCCTCTTGCAATATAGAAAGACGAGGTAGACTTCCGGTAAAAAATGTATATACGCTTTCCAGAACTCCAAAAAACAGCTGTGTTTGAATATTAGATGAAACAGCATCTATGAGAATTAAATTTAAATTATGAGCACAGCAGTGTGTGAAGAGTGCGTGTGGAGCTATTTCTCTAACTCGTTTTTGTACGCCGATATTTCACCAGACATGGTGTTTGCTCCATCGTAGGACTGACCATAGCACATGGTCATTGACAGCCCTAAGTCTGTGACTGCTGTAAGAAGCGTTACAAAAAAAAAACAACTCTGCACTAGCTTCAGGAAGCTTTCAAAATTAAATGAATATTTCGATGGATTTTCCATGTTCAGAAACATATCTGATTGACAAAGAAAATTGATCCGTCCTAGTAATGTCGATAGTTGAATCTACAATAAAAGCGAAATACCTAGCTATCTTAATTTCACCTACTATCTTCTTTAAAATTTGGGATGATATAGACTTAATTAAGTCGTTTTGCATACTCGGACTTACGTATGTTGCATTTCTGTCACCGAAAAGTAAATGTTGTTTTAGCAAATCATCTTTCTTAGAAATGAGTTTAATAAGTTCCAAAAAGTTGCCTTCATTTAATGTAGCTTCTCCTAAACTTTGGGATTCACGATGGCCCCTAAACGCCAATCCCTGTTTTCCCAAATAGAGAACTGCATCTATAATACTTTCCAGTATTACTCTGGTTTTTTTTCTATTTCCTTCTTTTCTGATGTTAAAATGTCACATATTATGGTTCTGTCTTTGTAAAGTCGGAATTTTGTAATTAAAAGTTCTCTCTCTGCAATCTTGTGACTTTCAGAGTTTTCATGTTTGTTAATTTTGTCGGGACCTTTTGCAAAGTTCATACAATCCAATTTTGGATCGCCCCAAGTGTCTGACTTGTGTTTAAAGAGCTGACTTGTGTTTAAAGAGCTGACTTGTGTTTAAAGAGCTGACTTGTGTTTAAAGAGCTGACTTGTGTTTAAAGAGCTGACTTGTGTTTAAAGAGCCAACAAGCAAAACAAATCATATAATTTGCCTTGGGCGAATATACTAGCCAGTGTCGTATTATTTCACGACCACATTTTGTATGGGTTTTTTCTTGTACCAACTGGCACTAAAGTGCCGACCAGTTACATTTTTTGGAAAATCTTTATAAGTATCTTTGAGGCCTGGTTGACAAGGACCAAACTCAAGTAATGCATGTACTAGATCCGGTGTTATGGGTGTTTCACAAAACAAAAAAAGGATCTGTAGGATATTCCAGACTTATATCGATTATAGCTTTAAGTTTGACTGGCATTGTACTGTCAATATCCTCTTCTAAATGGGTGTCTTCTAAAATGTCTATAGACATTACCTTATTGTCTTGAGTCTCGAAGCCTTGATTATGCATCTGAGATGATGTTGTTGCTTGTACATTTTGTACTTGGGTATCTTGAGACACATCAACCTCTGGTTGTATTGTTGTAGCAGTTAAAGGCGTACAGCTTGAAAAATATGTATCCAGTTTGACACATTTGGATGACGATTGTTGGCGCTCTGAAATTTCTTTCAATCTCTTCCCCTCCCACCCCGAATATTTTTTCTTTTCTGGTTTCCTTTCCATTTAATAACCTCTTAACTAACGAATTCTAAGCTCAACTGTTGTCTTAGTCGCAATATAGTTAGTATGATACACCAAATAATTTAAATGGTGCGATTTTTTTTTTTGATAATTACTAACTATTGGAAACAAGTTCAAACGATACATCAGCTGAGCGGATAATTAACTGTGCTATCAGGGTTAGTTTAAGTTGAGTTGTTTTTTAAATACAAAATATAGCCTTATTCAAATTTAAATATAGATCTAGATCTAGTAAACTAAAATAATAATTAATATAAAGTTAATACTGTTTTATATAATTTGATTTGTAATCTTAATCAGTATCGCCCAAACTGTAAGAATACTACTACTTCATCATGATGACGTTGTTTAACCTTGTCAAAATTTCCCCACCGCTACGCAGTTTGCCCATACGTAAATTTAAATAGAGGTGTCACAGTAGTTGTATTTGTTTCTGTATTGTAATTTTTAAAAAATCAATCACACGATTCAAACTGTATATATAAAGTAATTATGTGTGAAGTTTTAAGTATAACATTTTCTAATTCAATTATTTTTAAACAAATACATTATACATTATACCGTGGATTTACACTTAACACTCCTCTTGTCAAGTGGTACCACCCGTAGATGTTTTTTAAACATTGCATTGCATTGCATCGTAATGGTTATTTTTAGAACGGCAAACTGATGCAGCTGTTAATACGTGTTGTAAACGTAGACAGTACTAGACTAGTACAATAATGCTTAATTGCTGCATGAAAAGAAATCTTGTGATTTACAAAGATGTGCCGAACAAAAATATTTTTTTAACAAATATCATTGTTTAAAACTTTGAGTTTAAAAAGTTTCCAAAAAGGCGCCACTTTGCTGAAAATGGCCAGAGGGGGAGCGGCTGCTCCCCCTGCTTCCCCCCTGCGTACGCTACTGGATACGACCAATTAGACATAAGTAATGTTACGGAACAATTGGAATTCGTATTCGTGTATATATATATATATATATATATATATATATATATATATATATATATATATATATATATATATATATATATATATATATATATATATATATATATATATATATATATATATATATACTTGGTCACTGACCTTGCGGTACAGGCATAACCGGGACCTTCTTCTTCCTTCGGCCAATGAGCATGTTGAGGAAGTCCATCCGGAATACAGCGTCAAACAGGAAGTGGAAGATGAAGTGGGTGATGACGGGTAAGTGGTGGCCCAATGCCAGAATCTGTATGGCTGGTCAAGTGTTAGAGTTGGGCTACAGTACAGGCTACAGCTAGCAAATATGGCTGGTCAAGTGTTAGAGTTGGGCTACAGTACAGGCCACAGCTAGCAAATATGGCTGGTCAAGTGTTAGAGTTGGGCTACAGTACAGGCTACAGCTAGCAAATATGGCTGGTCAAGTGTTAGAGTTGGGCTACAGTACAGGCTAGAGCTAGCAAACACTTGCTACAGTTTAGGCCAGAGCTAGCAAATACTTGCTAAAGTACAGGCTAGAGCTAGCAAATACTTGCTAAAGTACAGGCCAGAGCTAGCAAATACTTGCTACAATATAGGCTACAGATATCAAATACTTGCTACAATGTAGGCTACAGATATCAAATACTTGCTACAATGTAGGCTACCTACAGCCATCAAATAGTTGCTACAATATAGGCTACAGATATCAAATAGTTGCTACAATGTAGGCTACCTACAGCCGTCAAATAGTTGCTACAATATAGGCTACAGATATCAAATAGTTGCTACAATGTAGGCTACCTACAGCTGTCAAATAGTTGCTACAATGTAGGCTACAGATATCAAATACTTGCTACAATGTAGGCTACCTACAGCCATCAAATAGTTGCTACAATATAGGCTACAGATATCAAATAGTTGCTACGATGTAGGCTACCTACAGCCATCAAATAGTTGCTACAATATAGGCTACAGATATCAAATAGTTGCTACAATGTAGGCTACCTACAGCCATCAAATAGTTGCTACAATATAGGCTACAGATATCAAATAGTTGCTACGATGTAGGCTACCTACAGCCATCAAATAGTTGCTACAATATAGGCTACAGATATCAAATAGTTGCTACAATGTAGGCTACCTACAGCCATCAAATAGTTGCTACAATATAGGCTACAGATATCAAATAGTTGCTACGATGTAGGCTACCTACAGCCATCAAATAGTTGCTACAATATAGGCTACAGATATCAAATAGTTGCTACGATGTAGGCTACCTACAGCCATCAAATAGTTGCTACAATACACAGCTCCAACACAAACACATGCACAACTTTGGTGTAATATTTAGCTTAAGGGTCTTCTAAATAAACTTACGACAAACTAACTCGACAGATATTATTTCACTAAAACTTGACATTTTTCAAGTCTTTGTTTTACCAATAGCTTAGCACATAGTACACCCCCCCCCCTGCCCGGGCTTTTAGATATAGGTTTGATTGTGACGCCACTACACCAAGCTACAGACCCTGGTACTTCTGTGACTCCTCTATGGACGACTCGATCTTCTGACGCATCATGGAGAGGTACACGATGGAGCCGAAGAGGACGGTGAAAACAAATTGGAAGTCGCACAGCACCACAACGTTGGTTACTGGTGTGGTGACTGGAACACAGGAATACGTGACGTCATTAGCAGAACACAGGAATACGTGACGTCATTGGCAGAACACAGGAATACGTGACGTCATTGGCAGAACACAGGAATACGTGACGTCATTGGCAGAACACAGGAATACGTGACGTCATTGGCAGAATACACGAATACATGACGTCATTTGTAGAATACACGAATACATGACGTCATTTGTAGAACACAGGATTATATGGCGTCATTTGTAGAAGACAGAAATACATGACGTCATTTGTAGAACACAAGTATATATAACGTCATTTTTAGAACACAAGAATGTATGACGTCACATGTGAGAGAAACTTAATAACAGTATTTAAAGTTTATAAAAATGAGTGTATTCGCAGTTATTTTACCACATTTAATTTTTTTTTTTAAACCCTTGGCAGAGTTTGTATTTCATGTTGACCCATTTCTATCGTGGTTTATTTTTAATTTTTTTTTTTTTTTAGTGCATTACAATTCACAGACAGCGCGAATATTAATTCTGGGGTCTCAAGATTGGTTTCCGTACTCGTTTCTAGGGGATTCGCCTGTATTTGGGTACATACGATGGGGACCTGTTCAAGGAACTCTGGATCCACCACAATGACCAGTGTTTCTTCCAGACTTTTTCCTCCGGGGGGGGGGGGGGGGCACTTTGAATTTTTTTTGGGGGGGGGGCGGTAGACTTTCTTGGGGGGGGGGGGGGCGGACACTGTTAAAAGTATATATTTTCTATATAAATTATATAAATTTCATTTCGTTTGGGTGGGGGGGGGGCGGTAGAATTTTTTCGGGGGGCTTTGACCCCCCCCCCCGAAGAGATGCCTGGAAGAAACTCTGACAATGACCCCCCCCCCCCTCCCCCTGGGGTCCACTTCTCCCATTTTGCTTTACGCAGATGCTTGAATTTGTTCCATCCATTCCTGTCAACTCACTCAACATTTTTAACAGTTTCTTGAGACGTCTGTACGTGACTTGGGTGTAGAGCTTCTTGGCGAACCACACGTATATGCCGATGATGCCTGCAAACGGCATCACGCAGAGGAAAGTGAAGTATAAGTACGACATCAGTACATCGTGCTTTTGAAAGCATTCGACGTATTCGCTGAAATGAGGGATTTCTTTTACTTGAGAATAATCTATAGAAGTATCATAGTTATGCGAACTAATATCGAGGTGTGTAGTTTTGAAATAATTTGTGATTTATAAGATACAGTTCGGTGTGAATGAATGAATACTACAAATTTAATAAATAAGTAAGAAAATAAGTTAATTAATTAACTTTAAAGATTTTTAATTTTTTTAATTAATAACATTTTTAAAGTGACAGAAGCTGTGAATGAATAAACGAATGAATAATTTTAATAAATACTTAATTAATTAATAAGTTTATTATTTAAATAAATAAATAAATAAGTTGAGGAATGTATTATGTGGTCAGGATATATGGAGAGGGGACAGAGTTTTGTCTGTAAAATGAGTATGCAGTTCGTGGGATTACTGTAATTAGGCCCTGTTATTTAATGTAGGGCGAATGCTAACCAACCTATCCACTAGATCAGGGGTTCCCAACCTTTTTTTACTCTAGAGCACATTCTAAAATATCGGTAGGGTGGCGGGCACCACCTATTTAAAATCGACAAACTCCTTCCATAACTTGTCATTTTCCCATAATTTATTTTCTTATTTTCTTATAGTAATAATGTATTAAAAAATAATAAACAAAAATGTTTCAAAATAATAAAATTATTTGGTATTTTTTTCAAATTGCATACACACAGAGAAATGTATTTACAAAACATAAATAATGCAGTCAAGTTGGGACTAGTATTGAATATATTTAATAAACCTAGGCAGTCAAAAAAAATTAAAACTGTAAAAAATTAATTAAAATAAATCATATTTTAAAATAATGTTTATGACAAAAATTCTGTCTCTGTCGAATGGTGAGAGGCGGGCACATACGAATCGTTCAGCGGGCGCCATGGCGCCCGCGGGCACAGGGTTGGGAACCCCTGCACTAGATACTAGTAACTTGGAAAAGTGCATAGCATGAGGTAATAACCAATCTTCCAGTGGCGTAGGCAGGGGGGTTAGGGGGTCATAACCCCCCCCCATAGACCCCTCGGTATATATATATAAAGTTTGAGGGGGGTGCAAATCGAAAGTTTGAGGGGGGGGGGGCAAATCGAAAGTTTGAGGGGGGGGGGTGTAAATCGAAAGTTTGTCCCCGGGTAAAAATTGGAACCCCCCCCCCCCCCCTTGAGACGATCCTGCCTACGCCGCTGCAATCTTCGCTTGGTATGCGGGTTAGATCCCTAAGCTAGAAAGTTACTAACTGGCTCTTTGTGTAAGTACTTGTAGTCCTGAATAACGCAAAAGCGAAGCTCAAACCGCACGAGATGAAGAAGACGACGAGTGTGGCGATTCTGGAGAAGCGGCTGATCTTCTGGGGGTCCATGCTGAAGTGTTCGCACATTCGAGCCAGGGAGAGCGGGATCAAAACCCAGTTGGAAGCAGACGTGATTGAGCTGCAGGACCAGTAGGTCAATCTAAAGATAGATTGTAGGTCAATCTAAAGATAGATTGTAGGTCAATCTAAAGATAGATTGTAGGTCAATCTAAAGATAGATTGTAGGTCAATCTAAAGATACATTGTAGGTCAATCTAAAGATAGATTGTAGGTCAATCTAAAGATAGATTGTAGGTCAATCAATAGGTGGATTGTTTTGGTGGGTTATACTACAGTAGTAGGTCAATCTAAAGAAAGATTGTTTTGGTGGGTTATACTACAGTAGTAGGTCAATCTAAAGAGAGATTGTTTTGGTGGGTTATACTACAGTAGTAGGTCAATCTAAAGAAAGATTGTTTTGGTGGGTTATACTACAGTAGTAGGTCAATCTAAAGAAAGATTGTTATGGTGGGTTATACTACAGTAGTAGGTCAATCTAAAGAAAGATTGTTTTGGTGGGTTATACTACAGTAGTAGGTCAATCTAAAGAGAGATTGTTTTGGTGGGTTATACTACAGTAGTAGGTCAATCTAAAGAAAGATTGTTTTGGTGGGTTATACTACAGTAGTAGGTCAATCTAAAGAGAGATTGTTTTGGTGGGTTATACTATAGTTGTAGGTCAATCTAAAGTGAGATTGTTTTGGTGGGTTATACTACAGTAGTAGGTCAATCTAAAGAAAGATTGTTTTGGTGGGTTATACTACAGTAGTAGGTCAATCTAAAGAAAGATTGTTTTGGTGGGTTATACTACAGTAGTAGGTCAATCTAAAGAGAGATTGTTTTGGTGGGTTATACTACAGTAGTAGGTCAATCTAAAGTGAGATTGTTTTGGTGGGTTATACTACAGTAGTAGGTCAATCTAAAGAAAGATTGTTTTGGTGGGTTATACTACAGTAGTAGGTCAATCTAAAGAGAGATTGTTTTGGTGGGTTATACTACAGTAGTAGGTCAATCTAAAGAAAGATTGTTTTGGTGGGTTATACTACAGTAGTAGGTCAATCTAAAGAGAGATTGTTTTGGTGGGTTATACTATATTAGTAGGTCAATCTAAAGTGAGATTGTTTTGGTGGGTTATACTACAGTAGTAGGTCAATCTAAAGAAAGATTATTTTGGTGGGTTATACTACAGTAGTAGGTCAATCTAAAGAAAGATTGTTTTGGTGGGTTATACTACAGTAGTAGGTCAATCTAAAGAGAGATTGTTTTGGTGGTTTATACTACAGTAGTAGGTCAATCTAAAGAGAGATTGTTTTGGTGGGTTATACTACAGTAGTAGGTCAATCTAGAGAGAGAGTGTTTTGGTGGGTTATACTACAGTAGTAGGTCAATCTAAAGAGAGATTGTTTTGGTGGGTTATACTACAGTAGTAGGTCAATCTAAAGAGAGATTGTTTTGGTGGGTTATACTACAGTAGTAGGTCAATCTAAAGAAAGATTGTTTTGGCGGATTATACTACAGTAGTAGGTCAATCTAAAGAGAGATTGTTTTGGTGGGTTATACTACAGTAGTAGGTCAATCTAAAGAGAGATTGTTTTGGTGGGTTATACTACAGTAGTAGGTTAATCTAAAGAGAGATTGTTTTGGCGGGTTATACTACAGTAGTAGGTCAATCTAAAGAAAGATTGTTTTGGCGGGTTATACTACAGTAGTAGGTCAATCTAAAGAGAGATTGTTTTGGTGGGTTATACTACAGTAGTAGGTCAATCTAAAGAGAGATTGTTTTGGTGGGTTATACTACAGTAGTAGGTCAATCTAAAGTGAGATTGTTTTGGTGGGTTATACTACAGTAGTAGGTCAATCTAAAGAGAGATTGTTTTGGTGGGTTATACTATAGTAGTAGGTCAATCTAAAGTGAGATTGTTTTGGTGGGTTATACTACAGTAGTAGGTCAATCTAAAGAAAGATTGTTTTGGTGGGTTATACTACAGTAGTAGGTCAATCTAAAGAGAGATTGTTTTGGTGGGTTATACTACAGTAGTAGGTCAATCTAAAGAAAGATTGTTTTGGTGGGTTATACTACAGTAGTAGGTCAATCTAAAGAGAGATTGTTTTGGTGGGTTATACTACAGCAGTAGGTCAATCTAAAGAGAGATTGTTTTGGTGGGTTATACTATAGTAGTAGGTCAATCTAAAGTGAGATTGTTTTGGTGGGTTATACTACAGTAGTAGGTCAATCTAAAGAGAGATTGTTTTGGTGGGTTATACTATAGTAGTAGGTCAATCTAAAGTGAGATTGTTTTGGTGGGTTATACTACAGTAGTAGGTCAATCTAAAGAAAGATTGTTTTGGTGGGTTATACTACAGTAGTAGATCAATCTAAAGAAAGATTGTTTTGGTGGGTTATACTACAGTAGTAGGTCAATCTAAAGAGAGATTGTTTTGGTGGGTTATACTACAGTAGTAGGTCAATCTGAGATTGTTTTGGTGGGTTATACTACAGTAGTAGGTCAATCTAAAGAGAGATTGTTTTGGTGGGTTATACTACAGTAGTAGGTCAATCTAAAGAGAGATTGTTTTGGTGGGTTATACTACAGTAGTAGGTCAATCTAAAGAGAGATTGTTTTGGTGGGTTATACTACAGTAGTAGGTCAATCTAAAGAGAGATTGTTTTGGTGGGTTATACTACAGTAGTAGGTCAATCTAAAGAAAGATTGTTTTGGTGGGTTTTACTACAGTAGTAGGTCAATCTAAAGAGAGATTGTTTTGGTGGGTTATACTATAGTAGTAGGTCAATCTAAAGTGAGATTGTTTTGGTGGGTTATACTACAGTAGTAGGTCAATCTAAAGAAAGATTGTTTTGGTGGGTTATACTACAGTAGTAGGTCAATCTAAAGAGAGATTGTTTTGGTGGGTTATACTACAGTAATAGGTTTATCTAAACAAAGATTGTTTTGGTGGGTTATACTACAGTAGTAGGTCAATCTAAACAAAGATTGTTTTGGTGGGTTATACTACAGTAGTAGGTCAATCTAAAGAGAGATTGTTTTGGTGGGTTATACTACAGTAGTAGGTCAATCTAAAGAGAGATTGTTTTGGTGGGTTATACTACAGTAGTAGGTCAATCTAAAGAGAGATTGTTTTGGTGGGTTATACTACAGTAGTAGGTCAATCTAAAGAGAGATTGTTTTGGTGGGTTATACTACAGTAGTAGGTCAATCTAAAGTGAGATTGTTTTGGTGGGTTATACTACAGTAGTAGGTCAATCTGAGATTGTTTTGGTGGGTTATACTACAGTAGTAGATCAATCTAAAGTGAGATTGTTTTGGTGGGTTATACTACAGAAGTATGTCAATCTAAATTGAGATTGTTTTGGTGGGTTATACTACAGTAGTATGTCAGTCTGAAGAAAGGAAGATTGTTTTGATGGATTTTTATAGTAAGAGATCCAACTATAAAGAGATTGTGTTAGGGATTTTTCTAGAAAAAAAATTACGTAGACTTATCTACACATATTTTATTGATGGTTTAATTTAAAATTGCCTTTAAATGGTAGGTTTTAATTTTACTGTTGAAATGTTCTTGATATTGATTCTACTTAATGTGATTATTTTTCTATCTTCCTTTCGAAGCAAAAGTATGCCCCTACCCCACACCCGACCACTACTTACAAAAGTATGCTCCTACCCCACACCCAGCCACTACTTACAAAAGTATGCCCCTACCTCACACTCCACACCCGGCCACTACTTACAAAAGTATGCCCCTACCCCACACCCGACCACTACTTACAAAAGTATGCCCCTACCCCACACCCAGCCACTACTTACAAAAGTATGCCCCTACCCCACACCCGGCCGCTACTTACAAAAGTATGCCCCTACCCCACACCCGGCCACTACTTACACGCAGAGATCTTGGTTAAAACTTCCGGGTTTGATTTCTCTAATGGCCGACACAGTGTAAGATAATAAACAGGTACATATATCCAATATGTTTATTATCGACATGATTTTAAAATAAAACGCTGCAATACCCGT